CGTATTTTATGGTATTTACAACATTTATTAGTCTTTTAACCACACGTTATATTAACTTTTATCAAATTTTTTTGTCAAACAACCCCATAAAATGAAGAATAATGTTAAATGTACATATTGAGTTCAACAGCCTCCTTACATGGGAGTGGGGTCTGTGATTTTTAAAATTACGGACCCCACCCCCTATGTGAGGGGGCGTCACCCGGCACGGGCAGTCTGGTGTCCGAGCCGATTGGTTAGGGTGTCTCTTGCAAAGAAGAATTCGTAGAGATTTTCCCAGACCCCAGTCATGATGTACATCAAGGACGTGCATTAAGCATTTCCCTAAAATAAATCGAGTACAAGGATCTTTTCTCAAATGCCTTATAAATCCGTAACAATTTTAGCATTTTTATTGAGTCGAACCATTTCATTATTTTGTTTTTGTATTTATTATTATTATTATTAATCATTGTGGCTTATGGTCACAAGGGCTTGCCCCATATAATAAATTACAGAAATAATAAAATGATCACAAGAATATTTTCATTAATTTTTTATATATTGACATGTTCAAGAATGTCCGGAGAAAATCTGATTATTTTTTTTAAAATGGGAAAACAAAAAATCAAACGTTCCAAGTTTTCACATGCCATTTGAAGCTTATAAAAATTGGGTTGTTAAGTTAGGTAAACTTAACCCCCGTTTGGCCCCATTATCTAAAATCTTAATAGTTGGAATAGTAATTTTTTTTAATTTTTTTTGAAAAATGTGTGGTTAATAAAAAAAATATTTTGGAATTACGTGTAATGTTATTTTATTGGAGAATATGTGAATAGAGAAAAATAAATTATACTTTTAATGTGGGCCAAACAGGTGCTTATATTGACTTGATAAAATAATATTGTATATCTTTTATTATTATGAGCTTGTTTGAGCCTCGTTTTCAGCCAAAAATGTATTTTAAAACAGTGATTTGATGAAGAATGTGTGATTGAAAAATAAAGAAAAAATTTGAGTTTGCGTGCAATATTACTTTATTGAAAAATGTGCGGTTGAAAATAAAAGCGAAAAAAAAGTAATTTGAAAAAAAGGGAAAACAAACACACTCTATAATGTGTTTAGGTAAAATAACAACTATCCAATTAATAATTAGGATGCTCAAATGATACCTAATGATAGAGATTGCTTATCAAGTTCTTCTTGTCCAAGATATTTAAAATTAAATTTAACACGGTATCAAACTCGACATATTTTCCTTAAAAGTTAAGACTTACAACACTACGATATTTCAACCAATACATTTCACAAATTAGTGAAAATGAGATAAACCTATGGGAATTAGTTTTATGTTAAATTTTATTGCTGATTCCGGTGTTCAAGATTATATAATAGTGAATTGAAATTAGCGATAATAATAGATTTAAGCAATCGACCTTAAATTAAATGAAATATTGCAATATTAATTTACAACACGTTGTCTCGGTGATAAATTGATCTTCAACCTTAATTTGTTTTTAGTTGCATAATCAATTTTCAATGTACCAAAATCGTGCAAGTTTCTATTAAATAATCCAATTTTATTGAAATAATTGAATTGTAGTGGGGTTATAATCATTCAAAAAATGATCCTCACTTGATGTGATATTTAATATATTATAGATTAGCGAAAATTTGAACATCTTCCATCGAATACAGCATTTCATAAATAAATTTTAGATAGTTATTGTTGTTACTTGTTAACAAGAGAAAAATGAACAAAAAAAAGTCAAAAAATACAAAACATGCAATAATTTCGAGAAGGGGACAACATAATCTGAATTATTGTAAACTTGCTGTAGCTTATAATACAAGTCAGTTCATTGAGATTTATTGATGTTTAAAAAAAGGGGGTATGTAATGTATTTTTTTCAATACATAACTTTTTAATGAAAAACTATAAAGATAGACTTTTGTCGTGTATAATGTTACCTCTCGATTCCGAGGTCCAGTGAAACGAAGCCACGTGGCCAGACACATGGGCGGGAAGTCAACAAGAGAAGTCAAATGAGACCCAGTAGGTCAAACACACAAAGTAATCAAATGACCGAGGTCTCGCACAGTGTCTGAAGCCTCACACTGCATGACTAGAAGTTTGGAAAGAAACTAACGCCTCCACTTCGGAACCACCTCGGATCTCTCCAAGGCACTCAGTTCGTCTGAGGCTCACGAAACCGACGTTGTTTACTTGTAAAGAGGTTCAATTTGTGGATTTCTCCGAAGTGATTGATGTGACGCTTGTAATAGAGTTGTCAATGTATCGTCTACTGCATAGGATGGCTGATTTCCTATCAAAGTATTAATAGCGTGAGTAAACATTGATGTGAACCCTTAGTAAAGGAGATAAGACCACGTGACTCCAATCCAATGGCCACCACGCCAGTCAAGCCAGTATAAATGGATCCCCCTTGTAATTAGAAAAGGGAGGTGGAACCATTGTGAAAAAGGAGAACTTATAACCATATATTTGGGCCACGTGCATGAACTCTCAAAAAAGAAGAAACATATTAACATCTTATCTATCTTTCCACATATTCCAACTCACGATCTCATAGATTAGTTTGATCTCAATCCGGCGATCGTCTTTATTCCACCCGTCGGAGCTCAAACATTTTTCGTATCTCGCCGCAAAATATCTTCCTCGTCCATTTCCTCATTGCTATCGTTGTTACTCCGGTAGGAACACGTCGAAATTGTACTTGACTTGGTGAGAGTATGCCCCAGCATCTGTTGATTCATTTTTTTGGGTCAACATATAATAATATTTGTCCATTTACCTTTTTTCAGAATTTTCAAATTAGATATTTTTCTAAACGTATATATCATTACCCACATTTATAAAACAAGGCTTCTCTACATACGTGAGACTATGACTAGGGATTCGGATTTACTAGGTTCCTATTAAACACTCAAATATACCTGATTCAATTTTTATTTTTATTTATTTAAAGAATTTACTGGAAATTTAGCCCCCCGTTTGGCCCACGTCATCCAAAAAATTTATTCTTTGTTCTCCTATTTCAACCACACAATTTTTCATAAATTAATATTACACGTAAATTGAAAATATTTTCTTCATTTTCAACCACACATTTTTCAAAAAAATACTATTCGAAAAATTAAAATTACAAATAGCGGGATCCAAAAGGGGGCTTAAATTCACTGAAAACTCATCATTTTTCCCAAACAATTTGGGTGTTATTGCAGTTACAAAATAGAGTCTACAATCCCCAAAATTCTCCGAAATTCTAATTCAAAATTGAGAAGTAATCGGCATTTGATAAGTATAATTGCGGAAATTCTAGTCACTTTATATTGTATTTGACTTTTGTAGGTTATATCCACAAATATTTGGAATTTATTAAGAGTGTGTTTGGTAGGGATTTTTGAGGGAAGAATTGATTTTTGAATAGTGATATGATGGGAAATGTGTGGTTGAAAAAGAAGAAAAAAGTATTGATGTGATGAAAAATATTATTTTATTGAAGAATGTGGTTGAAAATGAGAATTGATTTACTGTAGAAAATGAAAAGTTTTACCAAACAGGCTCTAAGTCATGCACCACCATCATCGTCATAGCCGCCGCCACCTTCCTAAATTATTGTGCATGCACCACTGGCCAGTTGCCACCACCACATTATATCAGAATAATTATCATAAATCGACAAGTAAAATAAAAAATACTCCATTTTGAAAATTACATATCTATAGTCGAACCAACCACCATCTCCCCATCATCATCATCATCGTCACCATCGCCACCTGTTTCCATCAGATCTGTCGCCAATACAACAAAACCAGATTTGCACTACCATTGTGATGAAGTGCATAAGGAGTTAGAGTTTATGATGAAGTGGGATCGCAAGGCAAAATAATGATTTCATGATAACTTTGGGTTTGTCCGTTTTTGACGAATTAATAGTCTAATTTGAGTGGAAACGGGCCAAGGATCACAACTCATCGCCTTCGGCCATGACGTACGTCGGATTTCGGACAGATTCCATCGTTTAGGCTCTCGATCACGCGTTTTTGCCGTTTATGGTAATTTTTATTTTGGTAATATCTCATTGAATAAAATTCGGATTTTGATTCCGTTTGTTGGAGGACGATCCTGAATATTAGGAGTTTCCATTTAAGTTAGAATCTCGAATTTTTCCATTTATGGAAAAATATCATTTTTTTTATTTTTATTATTTATTTTCCGAAATTTGCTAGGGTTTTGCTATTTAAACCATTGTAAGCCCTTCGAGCCAGACATTATTGAATTGAATAAAAACTTTCGTGAGTTTATCTCATATTTGTGAGGTTTTTCATCTTTCCTATAATCTTCCGCTACGTCACATTGCAACTAGATGGATAATTTTTCGGGATTGAGGCGGAAATCTGTACCACCATTCGTTCATGAACATCTTGATTTTGATCTTCTTTTGTGCTTACAATTTGATATGGAAGGGGTGTTTTGTGGGTTATTTTAGGATTTTTTTTTTAAAAGTAGTTTATGATTTTTGCAATTATGTTCTAAATTCGTGTTTTTTTCCTTTTTTTTTTTAATGTAATTGCAAAATTGGACATCTCTATCTAACAATAATAGAAGCCTTGGATTCATGGTCAAATTGTGTGAATTAGACCGGTCCACCAACTGGTTTTCCAGTCAAACTATCTGATCTGAACCGATTTTATAATTAACTATGCATTTAATAATCGAAATTGAAATTGAACCCTGAAAGCCCACAATCATTATGTTTAAACTAAATACATAATACAATAACTCTACAAACTGACTACAATATGAATTCTAGTTTTATCGAACTGTTACATACTTAGACATGAAATCCAACTTTTCACAAGAAACTAACGTCGAATTCTATTGTATTAGCCAACATTATGAAGAAAATAAGAAATTAAAACCTCACTCAATTGTATCAGATATTACATTTCAAACATACTTTAACACATTCGACTGATGAGTACCGGGGATTCCTCTATCTGGGGATTTTCTTGGAGAGAGAGGAAATCGAGAACAAAACGAGCAATGCCAACAAAATAGAAGCGATCAGTGACACTGCAACGGAAGCTCCGATATGCCTGCAGAACTCGCCATAGATATTACAAATCTTTCTCCATCCAGTGTGAGAATTGCCTTTTAAACCTATATAGGCAACTCCGCCCGCTGTTCCGGTTGCGGCTGCTACTATTCCCAAGAATAGCTGCACAAACGTTGTCGAGATTGGTTAGCTCATTTTAATTTTTACGTCACACAGTCTCGAAAAAGAATCGGACCAAATCGAATCAAACTCTAAACTTACCACATCGAATATGACAAAATGAGACACCACTTTTGGACAGCTACCAGGCCTCAAGAGGGCAAACAAGGAGAAGAGACAGGTAATAATACTGTAAAAGCCCACAGCAGAAAGTGCTGCTACAAAGTATCTGCACAAGGGATTTTCAATATGGATCGAATTAGATGAATAATCACTATCAAAGTTATTAATAAATCTGTAATAAAACTTTAACACTTATTATGGTGCGTGTTTGGCTAAGCTCAAAAAGTTTAGTTATGAATTAAAATACAAAAAAAAAGAAAAAAAAAATTGGTGAAAATTGAAAATACGTAAATGATTTATTTAATAATCCCCTATTTTATAATAAAAATAATTATTTCTTTACTTATAAATAAAAAGATTACGTACAGGGGCGGACGCAGACTTTTTATGTTGGGGGGGCACAATCAAACTTTCAAAAAGTGACGAAAAAAATTAACGTAAGAAATATTTTATTAGAATTGTTCTTTGCGTGTTCTCATATTTTGATAA